ATCCCATCCCATGCCATCCCATCCCTCCCATCCCTCCCATCCTATCCATCCCATCCCATCTATCCCATCCCATCCCATCCATCCCATCCCATCCCATCCCATCCCATCCCATCCCATCCCATCCCCTCCCCTCCCCTCCCATCCCATCCCATCCCATCCCATCCCATCCCATCCCATCCATGCATGTGGGCAGAAATACAACAGCCTCCTTCCCCTGTTCTCCTGTTCTCGTGTTCTTCCATTCCATCTCTTCCCCTGTTCGTCTCCTCGTCACCACTTTCCCTCTTCCCCTCCTCTTCTCTGCTTTCCTCCATGTCTATTCATCCACCCATCTTCAGGAAACTCAACGACAACCGTCTTGCGGGGACGATACCTGCTGCAATCACCATACTCACTAATCTCTCATACCTGTCAGTGTTACCTCCTCTGTCGTCACCAACACTCATGCACTATTTGTCAATAATCTAAAATGTGGTTGAGTAATCTGGAGAGCATGGTTGTGTTGCCTGCTGAGTCCACTCAAAATACATTTCTGCTGGGTCACCTTTGGTTTGAATTCCGCTGAAACATACAGTTCTAGCCACCTCATGCAATTACTCCAAACAACTGTCAGTGCTACCCATCTCTTCTCTGTGAAACGCCACCCCTACTGCTCACTTTCTGCCACACACACATCTCTTCCTTTCTACCATCGACACATCTCTTCCTTTCTACCATCGACACATCTCTTCCTTTCTACCATCAACACATTTCTTCCTTTCTTCCACCCACACGTCTCTTTCTTATCATCACCTTTTTCTTTACAAGGGGTTTTTTTAGCAAGCCTATGACAAACAGCAACATCTCTTTACTAAACTACAGCTGCTATCTCTTCCTTTCTGCTTGCTGAAGGCCGCAAATTGATGGGTGTCAACTCCATCAACCGTTCTGATTGAATGGCATTCACTCCTTTCTGATTGAATGGCATCCACTCCTTTCTGATTTAATGACATCCACTCCTTTCTGATTGAATGGCATCCACTCCTTTCTGATTTAATGACATCCACTCCTTTCTGATTTAATGGCATCCACTCCTTTCTGATTTAATGGCATCCACTCCTTTCTGATTTAATGGCATCCACTCCTTTCTGATTTAATGACATCCACTCCTTTCTGATTTAATGGCATCCACTCCTTTCTGATTTAATGGCATCCACTCCTTTCTGATTTAATGACATCCACTCCTTTCTGATTGAATGTCATCCACCCCTTTCTGATTGAATGTCATCCACTCCTTTCTGATTGAATGTCATTCACTCCAAAGAAATGATGGGAGTAATCACACAGCAGTAACACACTCAGCTGATCCCACACAGCACTAACACACTCAGTTGCTAACACACTCAGCTGATCCCACACAGCGCTGAAATTGGATTCAGCTGATCCCACACAGCGATGAAATTGGATTCAGCTGATCCCACACAGCACTGAAATTGGATTTGCTGACTCAACACGCACAGCTGATGATGTCAAACAGCATGCCCCGGAAGAGGTACTCCATTCAGCGAGATTACTTTTGAGTCGAGTCAAAGGCTGATGCCACACGGCATGCCCCGGAAGAGGTACTCCATTCAGCGAGATTACTTTTGAGTCGAGTCAAAGGCTGATGCCACACGGCATGCCCCGGAAGAGGTACCCCAATCAACACGCACATGCTACTCCTGTCAAGACGCACAAGCAGACTCCTCCTTCCCACCCACCGCTTCCCGTCCCGCCTTCTTTTGCACCACAGGCAAGAGGAGAGCTGCCCTCCTTCCGCCACATGGCCCTCCTCACATGGAGTTTTGAGACATCTCAAAGCTCGCCTTGACAACGACCAGCTTACGGGAGAGCTGCCCTCCTTCCGCCATGTCACCCAACTCACATCGCTAGACAGGCTGTCTGCTGCTTACAACTACCTCACAGCCACAGCCACAACTACTCTCTCCCTCCCACCTTCCCCTGGCACCACAGGCACCTTGACAACAACCAGCTCACGGGAGAGCTGCCCTCCTTCCACCACATCACCCAACTCACATCGCTAGACAGACTGTCTGTTGCCTACAACTACCTCACAGCCACAGCAGACGCCTTCCCGTTCAACACCACCAGCCCAGACCCAGACGACCCCTCAGGAGGCCACAGCTCGTGCGTATTCACCCACAACTGCCTTGAGTGGGTCTACTGCGGCCATGGGCTGAACCAGAGGCGTGACAGTGAGTGCCGGGCGTTCTGTGGGGTGCAAGTGCAGCCGCTCAAAGAGCAGAGGCTCACCCCCCCGTGCAGCGGGCATGGCATGTGCTCCTTTGTGCCGGACCCGTCTCACACCATGTATCCTTGTGATGAAGACGAGGAGTTCTGGCCACCCTACTGTGAACCTGTGGGGCAGTGCACCTGTGATGACGGGTACACGCCAGGGACTGCTGCTGGCACGTGCGTCTCTCACGATACCCTGCTGGTGCCTCAAGGTATGCTTGCAGATTAATGCCCTCGCTAGGTGATGGTTATCTCTTGTTCCTTTTTTGGCCCTTAGTTCGTCCTTGCTGCATCTTGTTTTTCAATCCCTTCTTGCCAACATGCCCCACGTGCCTCTGGCTTCCACCGGCCTGTGGAAGGGACTCAGTAGGCCATGGGAGAGTGGCCATGGGAGAGTGGCCGAGCGACGCCTCCTAGCCAGTTCAGCCCGTGGGCTCGCACTGGGTAGTGTGACTCGTGCTGGGTAGTGTGGCTCGTGCTGGGTAGTGTGACTCGTGCTGGGTAGTGTGACTCGTGCTGGGTAGTGTGACTCGTGCTGGTTAGTGTGACTCGTGCTGGGTAGTGTGACTCGTGCTGGGTAGTGTGACTCGTGCTGGGTAGTGTGACTCGTGCTGGGTAGTGTGACTCGTGCTGGGTAGTGTGACTCGTGCTGGGTAGTGTGACTCGTGCTGGGTAGTGTGACTCGTGCTGGGTAGTGTGACTCGTGCTGGGTAGTGTGACTCGTGCTGGGTAGTGTGACTCGTGCTGGGTAGTGTGACTCGTGCTGGTTAGTGTGACTCGTGCTGGGTAGTGTGACTCGTGCTGGGTAGTGTGACTCGTGCTGGGTAGTGTGACTCGTGCTGGGTAGTGTGACTCGTGCTGGGTAGTGTGACTCGTGCTGGGTAGTGTGACTCGTGCTGGGTAGTGTGACTCGTGCTGGGTAGTGTGACTCGTGCTGGGTAGTGTGACTCGTGCTGGGTGGTGTGACTCGTGCTGGGTAGTGTGACTCGCGCTCCTCCGCTTGGCACACTGAGTCGATTTTGAGCCGCCTAAAAAAAAATGGAAACGTGTGCTGACGGGTCAGACCTCTGGCTCTCCACTCAAGCCACACCTGCGTCGTGTGTGTTTGCGCCTCTGTGAGCCTCTGTGTGCATGCTGATCAACCATTGTGAGCCTCTGTGAGCCTTTCCTCCACATTCGTTACTTACCATCCCAAACACCTTGAGTTCAGCCCACCCTGCCATATGGGCTTGTCGCGCTAAATCTTGCTTTGTACTGTGTGTACCATGCTGTACCGTGCTGACAGGAACACCAATCCAAAGCCCTGTCGACCATCCTGACTACCAGCCAGACAGAATCAAGAATCCTCCTAACGGCAAGTGGCACCATACACGGGGCGCTTGTTCCTCATAAGCATAGCAGTTGCCATTGGGGTTGTGCTTGTTTGTTCTGTGGGCCAATGCACCCACCCACAACCGTCAAGACCTCACTGTTCTTATCGCATCCCGACTTCTATCACGTGCAACTCAACTCCAGTCACTGTTCTTATCGCATCCCGACTTCTATCACGTGCAACTCAACTCCAGTCCCACTGCCCCATCTCCATCACAACCTTTGTGAACCATGTTCACATCCCACTGCACTCCCACATCATAATGCTCCTTCTTTGCCTGCATCCGCTCCTCCCAGCCTCCCGCCCTCTCTTCATCCATCCTGCAGGCACCAACTTCCCCTTTGAGCCGCCAGGCACTACCATCGTGGGGTTGATTCTGTCTGATCTCCAGGCGCCTAAAAACCTGCTGCTGCTCTTGCTCCTTCTTCCACCGCTGTTGCTGGCCTTCTCACTGCCACATCTTCTGAGGCGCCTCAAGAATCGACCGTCCACGCGCTACTTTTTTTCAAAGAGAGCCCTCGCTGCCCAGCAAGCTGCCATGGGTGTGGAGATTACTTGCCAGTGCAGGACTGTTATGCAGGAATAATCTGTACACGTTGATGGGACCATGTGCCATGTGGGAATGAATTTTGTAGCGAGATGAGTCTTTAGATAATGCTTTGGATTTTATTCCTTTGAAGCGTATGCGTTATTGCTTTTTTCATTCTGTCTCTGACAAAATAGAACTGAAATCAGAAACGAAGAATGTGGGTACGGCGATGCTACCTTTGCTGCATTGTCAACGTCTCTGCTTTCAAAATATTTCTTTTTTTAGAAAGTGTTTCATTTTCAAGATTTATCATTTATGCATGCGAACCTCCTATGAAAACAAACAAACCATGGTGTCGAGCGACAAGCCAAGCAATCACTCAAACAAATATGGTGCTGTGAAGGGCATTGTGATGCCAACCCTTGATTCCATAGTGCAAGAAAAACCCATGTAGCCGCACTTTCTGTTTCCCAATTTTCAGTCCTTTCTCGCATGGTCCCATCCTGCGTACACAAACTCCTTGGCAAACTCCTGCACCTTCCAGGCAGCAGCAGCGGCGGCCACAGCCAGCAGAGCAAGCGGCACACGAGCACGCAGGGAGGTGGAGGCGGCAGCAGCAGCAGCAGCGGAGAGCAACGAGACGGCGGGCAGCAGCAGCTGGAGGCGCTGCAGGTTGGCGAAGGTGGCGGAGCAGGATGTGCAGTGGGCGGTGTGCGAGGCCATGCGCTCCAACACCACCTCCTTGGCGGCCGGCTGGGGGGGCAGCGACACATCTGAGAAGGCCGGCGGGTACTCCACGGCTCCACCTGGTGCACGTGGGAAGGAGGTTGTGGACAGATGGATGACATGTACAGGTCAGGTTGATGGTGGACAGAAGCATTAACAGGTGAGGCAAGACGGGATGGCATACGGCACGACAAGGAGGGATGGCACGAGAGGGAAAACAAAAAAGTAGAAGTTTGAAATATAAAGCTAGCCAAGTATGCTAGTTGGCCCTCAAGTAAGCTCTGGTGTGTTGGTCATTCTCAGCCTCGCTAGCCTTGCGCTCTCGTTGGTTAACCAAAGCAATTGGCTATACTCGTTTCACCCAATCGGGACATCCATGACATCAGAAAGCACAGGCACATATTATCTCCAAGCAAGCACAGCTGGCAAGAAATACCTGAAAAGGATCCTACTTACTACACAACCACCTGGCTCCTCTCATGAAGCAACCACTCGTGTTCGGGACACACCTGCATATTTGGAGAGCCATTGCCGGAAGGCAACCACAGGGAGGTCAGCGTTGGTGGGCATGTAAAACGCCCTCCACGCGCTCCCCCTCACAACCCCTGCGCCCCCCGCTTCACTTCGCCCACCCTCCGCCGCACCTCCCCCCTGCTGTGCCCCGCCCTTGCTCGCCCGCGCCTCCTCCATCTGCTGCTCCCTCTCCTGCAGCACTCGCTCCTGGCAGTGCAGGAAGTAGGAATCGCCTGATGGGCATGGCGCGGGACACACATGGCACCCCGGTGATGTGACAAGAACCGGAAAGAACACCACAATCATAAGGCTATCATCTGTGATCACTGATTCCGTCACCGCATCGTACACCTGGTGCAAGCGGAGGTGCCGCACTCACCATCGTATATCTGGTGCAGGCCGATGTGCCGCAGCCAGCGCGGCATGGAGGGCAGCTTCTTGCCGTCGCCGGGCCTGACCAGGTTCACCTGCACGACGATGCTGCTGCCCGGCGCGCTGGGCGTGATGTACAGCAGCAGCACCAAGCTCGTGTTCGCCGCGGCCTTCCTCTGCAGGAAGGGGAACTTGGGGGGCGGCGGGCTGGGGGGGAAGGGGAGAAGGGAGGGGGGAGATGGCTTTTGAGTGAGTCGACTAAAAAACACACCAGGTTCACATGCACGACGATGCTGCTGCCCGGTGCGCTGGGCGTGATGTACAGCAGCAGCACCAAGCTCGTGTTTGCCGCGGCCTTCCTCTGCAGGAAGGGGAACTTGGGGGGCGGCGGGCTGGGGGGGAAGGGGAGAAGGGAGGGGGGAGATGGCTTTTGAGTCGACTCAAAAACTGACCAGGTTCACCTGCACGAAGATGCTGCTGCCCGGTGCGCTAGGCGTGATGTACAGCAGCAGCACCAAGCTCGTGTTCGCCGCTGCTGCCCCGGCGGAACCCCACTTAGGAGGCATGACTTTGCGTGGCAGCAGCTTGTTTAGTAAAAATGTTTTTTGTGTTGGTAGGCTTGCTTAGGACCTTTGTAGAAAAAATATTGGTGGTAACTAGTTTCGGCTTTGAGCCTTCTTCAGACCACAAAGGAGAAAAAGAGAAAGCAAGCACCCTAAATACCAAAGCCCGAGGCTCCGACGCGAGGCATTCCTTCGCGGGGCTGGGATGGCAGGGAAAATCTAGATAGAAACAATAGAAATGAAATCTACAGTAAGCTAGCACTTATGAGCAGAAATTATATAATTGCCTACTCGTTTAGGTAACCTCCATGCGATGATGTTTCTTCTTGTAGAAAATACTCCGTGTGACATTGTAACGAGATGACTTTTGAGTCGACTCAAAATGTTCCCCAGGTGCGAACGGTCAACCAGCAGGTTGAGCAGAAGTTTCAGCACGAGGGGGCCACGGGTAGAAGAATTGCGCAAAGCGGAGGCACGTTGGAGTAATTCCCCACGGTTGGAGAAAAGCACTGTCTTGAAGATTGGAAGGAGAAACTTCTCAGGATGCCCACGTGCTCGTAAACGAGCAAAGAAAAGTGCGCGGGAGTGTAAGAAGTCAGTGCGTGAAGAGGAGCGTAGCAGGAAACGCTGTAGCTCACTCCGAATGAAACCCAGTTTGGTGGTGCGAGTATGGTAGGATTTAAACGGCAGGTATAAGTACCGGTTCATTGGCTTCTGGTACAGCTTCATGTCGAGTGTTCCAGTAGTAGAGAACCGTTCCCCCTTGAAAACCGTAAGATCCAGAAAGTCCATGGTAACGTCAGAAACCACCCAGGTTAGTCGAATTGAAGGATGTAAAGAATCGAACCGTTGACGAAAGCACGAAAAGTCTTCCTTTGTTCCCTCCCACAGAATGAGACCATTGTCAATAAAGCGAAAGTGGAGAGCGGGAGAAAAACGAAGCGAAGCGTGCAGTTGAATGTCAAGGTAGCTCAGGAAAAGCACCGCGAAGCAAACAGCCACTGAAGTGCCCATCGCAGTGCCTTGAATCTGGCGGAAAAACCGGCCGTTGTAAGAAACGTAGCTGTTGAACATCACCCATCTGAGCAAACGGACGATGACTGGGGCCAATGGATGTCTCTCCTTTTGAAGAAAAAAGGCGACAGCGTCTATCCCGTCCCACAAGGGAATTGACGGGTAGAGCGATTCCACGTCATAAGACGCCAGCAGCATGTTAGGTGAAAATGAAAATGAACATTGCTCGAGATGAAGAATCAGGCTCTGGGAGTCCTTAACATAGGTCGGCTGTTTGAGGACCAACGGGCGTAGGACTGAATCCAGCCAGCGAGAAACGTTAGTAATTATCCAAGAATGGCAAGCCGCGATAGGCCTCCCAACAGGAATTTTCTTATGGATTTTCAGCAGCACGTAGAAAGCTGGAACCTTCCAGCCATTCATAGGTTGATGAAAGAAAGAATCCCAAATTCTGGATTTAATGACACAGCTCCACTCAGATCGAATAGAATGAAGCTCTTGGAGAATGTTAGTAATGGGAACCGTCGAGTATTCCTTGTAGACCGTGTTATTGAGCAGATGCTTCAGACATTGATCCTGATAGTATTCTCTGCTCATGACAGTTAGTCCAAGGTTTTTTTCCGCCGGCTTGAAAATGAGATTAGGATTGTTAGCAAGTCGTCGCAGCATCGGGAGCACGTTCTTAGACTTCCGTGTGAGTGAAGTGAAAGTTTGTCCAGCAATTTCTTTAACGGCTGCTTCTTTAAACACCTCCAGCGCGGCTTCAATTTCAGGTGAGGCTGGTGGAGGGTTCCAGTTAGTTCTCTTAGGTAGCTTGTACCCTGAGTAACCGAAAGAGTCAGATCCATTAAACAGGTACATGGTACAAACACTTCTAAAGAAATCAGAGATCTCTGCTTCGAAACTGGCGACAGTACAAATTACAGGTACGGGGATGAATTTCAGTCCAAGGCGCAGAAGATTAAGTTCCTGTCGTGTGAAAGAATGATCACTGTAGTTATGGATACCGCGGTTGGTGATCCGACATTGCAGTTGGTACTCGGTTTGTCTTCCGAAGAGCACCAAAGCAAATGAGTGCACATCACCCATTACTGTCGAGTCGTTTTTCTGCGGCCTCCGCCTCCCCCGTTTTTTGTCACAGGTTCCTTGCGGGATGAAAAGGAGGAGGAGCCGTTGCGTCCAGTCGACTTAGAGCCGTTGCGAGCAGCTGTCTTAGAGTAAGAGCGACCCACGGTTTTAACCGCTGATGCTTCTGCTTCGTCAACCTTCTGCTTCATCTTGAGTCTGCTTCCCAGTCTTTTTGCCATTAAGGCCCTTGTCATTGGATTTGCCGTTGGCTTTCGGAGTCGAACGAGACTTCTTGCCTGTGCAGGCGTTTTTCCTGACATGGATACCGGAAATGTTAGACTTAGATTTAGGATTTCCAGAAAAAGCAGCCTTATCCTTGTTGTTGTAGCCGGTCTTTCTCGCAGGTGTCTTAGTCGAAGGCTGCTTCATGAATTTCTGCACCTCTTGACGAGCGATCTCACGGACCGTAGGTTCAACCGGCAGGTTCTCAGCTTCCTCAACAGCAGCCGTTTTCTTAGCGTCAAGCTCCTCCTTCTTCTGTTTCAGGAGGACTTCCGCCATGTTGGTTTCCATGTAGACAATCGAAACGGAATCCTTAAACTCCGTCAGAACGCGTGCCTTGAAAACATCTAGGCTGTCAATGAGTTTTGGGTTCTTTATGCCGAGATCTGACTTCTTGTTCAGGTTGATGAAGTTATCGATGTGATGAATGAGTGACTGATAAACAGCACAGGCGTCGCTGAAGGCCTTATCAGCAGCTTTCTTCTTCATTGAAATGAGAATATTCTGCGTACTCTGGCAATATGCCAATTTAGCGGCTTCCAGGTCCTTATCTGCTTCTTGACGAATATCTTCAGCATGGCAGACGAAGTTGAAGGATTTAATCCGAATAGAATGCGGGATGATACCGCTCTTCTTCTGCTCCTCCATAAAATTGTATTGCTGCAGCAGCGTCCGATACTTCATAAAATGCCTTTTGAAGTCACTGACGGCTTGAGACTTAAGTGTCTTAAAAATGGCTGGTGTAGCCTGCTGATCCAGAAACGATGCGTTAATATCACCGAGAAAATCAAGTGAATCCAGCATGATAGTGTCACGAGTGACAGAGTCCTGGATTCCTTGGACTGCTTCCTGCTCCGGAACCGTCGTGGTAGCATTAGTAGCCATCGTAACGGGAGTAATTCCAGGAGCGTCAATGGACTTTGCGAGAGTAGCACCAGAAGTGTCAAGACCTCTCTTCTTGCAATGTCGAGAAGCAGAAGGAGACTGTGGAAAGTCCCCTTGGCTGACCGGCTTTTTATCCTGGCCGAGCTGCGAAATTCTTCGCGATGCTCTCAATGGCCTTGGGATAGTCGGGACGCGGTCAGCATTGTTCGTAGTAGTGTTTGTAGTAGTGTTTGATGCGTTAAACGTGTAGCCGGCCATCGCAGTAGTATCAACTGACAGTCCAATGGAACCCCACTTAGGAGGCATGACTTTGCGTGGCAACAGCTTGTTTAGTAAAAATGTTTTTTGTGTTGGTAGGCTTGCTTAGGACCTTTGTAGAAAAAAATCTTGGTGGTAACTAGTTTCGGCTTTGAGCCTTCTTCAGACCACAAAGGAGAAAAAGAGAAAGCAAGCACCCTAAATACCAAAGCCCGAGGCTCCAACGCAAGGCATTCCTTCGCGGGGCTGGGATGGCAGGGAAAAGCTAGATAGAAACAGTAGAAATGGAATCTACAGTAAGCTAGCACTTATGAGCAGAAATTAGATAATTGCCTACTCGTTTAGGTAACCTCCATGCGATGATGTTTCTTCTTGTAGAAAATACTCCGTGTGACATTGTAACAAGATGACTTTTGAGTCGACTCAAAATGACTTTTGAGTCGACTCAAAAGTCACCAAGCTCGTGTTTGCTGCTGCTGCCCCAGCCTTCCTCTGCAGGAAGGAGAACTTGGGGGGCGGCGGGCTGGCAGGAGAGGGGGGAAGGGAGCGGGAGGAGGGTGGAATGGGGAAAGCGAGGAGTAGAAGGGGAGGTGGAAAGTGAGGGTGGGATAAAAGCGGGGGTGGACGGGGAGGAGAGATGTGGGGATGGGGGGTAGGGTGAAAAGGGTGGATGTCATGGTGTTGTGGCGGGGGCGGCACGTCATGGTGTTGTGGTGTTGTGCGGTACCTTACGGTGCTGTGGTAGAAGACGAGTTGGGGCGCCTGGAAGCGGAGGTACGTGGGGAAGCCAAACACGTGGATGGGCCCCTCAAAGCCCTTCACGCCCTGCAGGCGGGCAGTGCAGAGGCAGTAGAGGGCAGGTGAGGGCAGTGCAGGCAGGGCGAGCGCAGTGCAGGCAGGGCGAGCACAAGCACAAACAGTGAAGTGCAAATCTTGTATACGGATGTCTATGTGTGTGCAGCGCAAGTGCATGTGAGTGTGTACGCATCACTGCATGTGCAAGCCTCTCTGCATGTGCAAGTCTCTCTGCATGTGCAAACCTCTCTGCATGTGCAAGTCTCTCTACATGTACAAGTCTCTCTGCATGTGCAAACCTCTCTGCATGTGCAAGTCTCTCTGCATGTGCATGCCTCTCTGCATGTGCAAGTCTCTCTGCATGTGCATGCCTCTCTGCATGTGCATGCCTCTCTGCATGTGCATGCCTCTCTGCATGTGCACGCCTCTCTGCATGTGCATGCCTCTCTGCAAGTGCAAGCCTCTCTGCATGTGCATGCCTCTCTGCATGTGCACGCCTCTCTGCATGTGCATGCCTCTCTGCATGTGCAAGTCTCTCTGCATGTGCATGCCTCTCTGCATGTGCAAGTCTCTCTGCATGTGCAAGCCTCTCTGCATGTGCAAGTCTCTCTGCATGTGCATGCCTCTCTGCATGTGCAAGTCTCTCTGCATGTGCATGCCTCTCTGCATGTGCACGCCTCTCTGCATGTGCACGCCTCTCTGCACGTGCATGCCTCTCTGCATGTGCAAGCCTCTCTGAGTGTGCAAACGGCATCCCCCCATCACACAGAAACCTCCCTGCCCACCGCCGCGCCGCACCGATTGTGTCATGCCGATGTTGTTGATAGGGCCGCCCTTGTCGCGGGTGGTCATGCCGACGCCGTGGTGGGCGAAGGGGAAGTGGGAGAGGTCCACCACATTCTCCACCAGAACCTCATACCCGTACGCCAGGCGCCGCGTGTAGTGCGGCAGCACCTCGTACTCGTCCCACTCCACCCCGTGCGGCAGCGGCAGTGGCGTCGCCTCCGCCTGCTCTGCCGAATGCTCATTTGGCCACACGAACAGCACCCCCTGGGGTGGGCGGGGGGAAGTGGGGGCAAGGGAGGGGGAGTAACGGGCGCGCAGCGGGGAGAGTGGGGGCGATTGGCTGGGTGGACTGTTGAGAAGCGACGGACAAGCCGATGCGCCCCTGTGGGCATTGGGAGGGGAGGGGAGGCACAGTTGTCTCTCACCACTGCCCCTCCTCCCCTCGCCCCTAACCCACTTGCTCTGCGGACACGCACAGGCAAGCCGAGCAGCCGAGCAGCCGCCCGCTTTGCCCTTCTCCTTGCCATCTCGCCACTCTCATGCCCTTCTCCTTGCTCGGACTACCCCAGCATGATGCCTTCAGGCTCCAGCTCTCGCTGTTAGCTAGGCACAGTGGGTTATTGCGACCTGCCTTTCATGACCTGCGACCCACGGATGATAAGCTTCCTATTGTGTATGTAGCCCGTGACACGTGCGGCACTCACGTGGAACTCCCTCACGGGGAAGGCAGTGGCGCATGCGCGCGGGGAGCACACGGCGCGGGGGGGCTGGCCGGGGTGCTCCGGGGCGGCCTGCGGGATGAGCTCGCACGCGCCGCTGCCTGCAAACGCCCACCCGTGGTACGAACACGCCAGCCGCCCCTCCGCGTCTATGCGGCCCTGTGGCCGTGCCGTTGGGAGGGGGCGGGGTGAGAGGAGGTGGGTGAGCCGGGAACAGGTGATGGGAATACATGTGGTGGGCATCCGCTGCGCCTATAACACCTCCATTCTGACCCAGCGGGTAGAGGGGTACGCCCACCCGTGGTACGAACACGCCAACCGCCCTGATGAGTCTATGCGCCCCTGTGGCCGTTGGGCAGGGGGGGAGGGGGGAGGGGGGGGGTTGGGAAAGTGATAAGATTGAGGTGGGTGCGATGGGAACAGGTGTGGTGGGAAGAGGTGCGGTGGGAACAGGTGCGATGGGAATAGGTGCGATGGGAACAGGTGCGATGGGAACAGGTGCGATGCGAACAGGTGCGATGCGAACAGGTGCGATGGGAACAGGTGCGATGGGAACAGGTGCGATGGGAATCAGGTGCGATGGGAACAGGGCGATGGGAACAGGTGCTATGGGAACAGGTGCGATGGGAACAGGTGCGATGGGAACAGGTGCGATGGAACAGGTGCGATGGAACAGGTGCGATGGAACAGGTGCGATGGCGAAACAGGTTGCGATGGGAACAGGTGCGATGGGAACAGGTGACGATGGGAACAGGTGCGAGGGACCCGGTGCGATGGGAACAGGTGCGATGGGAACAGGTGCGATGGGAACAGGTGCGATGGGAACAGGTGCGATGGGAACAGGTGCGATGGGAACAGGTGCGATGGGAACAGGTGCGATGGGAACAGGTGCGATGGGAACAGGTGCGATGGGAACAGGTGCGATGGGAACAGGTGCGATGGGAACAGGTGCGATGGGAACAGGTGCGATGGGAACAGGTGCGATGGGAACAGGTGCGATGGGAACAGGTGCGATGGGAACAGGTGCGATGGGAACAGGTGCGATGGGAACAGGTGCGATGGGAACAGGTGCGATGGGAACAGGTGCGATGGGAACAGGTGCGATGGGAACAGGTGCGATGGAACAGGTGCGATGGGAACAGGTGCGATGGGAACAGGTGCGATGGGAACAGGTGCGATGGGAACAGGTGCGATGGGAACAGGTGCGATGGGAACAGGTGCGATGGGAACAGGTGCGATGGGAACAGGTGCGATGGGAACAGGTGCGATGGGAACAGGTGCGATGGGAACAGGTGCGATGGGAACAGGTGCGATGGGAACAGGTGCGATGGGAACAGGTGCGATGGGAACAGGTGCGATGGGAACAGGTGCGATGGGAACAGGTGCGATGGGAACAGGTGCGATGGGAACAGGTGCGATGGGAACAGGTGCGATGGGAACAGGTGCGATGGGAACAGGTGCGATGGGAACAGGTGCGATGGGAACAGGTGCGATGGGAACAGGTGCGATGGGAACAGGTGCGATGGGAACAGGTGCGATGGGAACAGGTGCGATGGGAACAGGTGCGATGGGAACAGGTGCGATGGGAACAGGTGCGATGGGAACAGGTGCGATGGGAACAGGTGCGATGGGAACAGGTGCGATGGGAACAGGTGCGATGGGAACAGGTGCGATGGGAACAGGTGCGATGGGAACAGGTGCGATGGGAACAGGTGCGATGGGAACAGGTGCGATGGGAACAGGTGCGATGGGAACAGGTGCGATGGGAACAGGTGCGATGGGAACAGGTGCGATGGGAACAGGTGCGATGGGAACAGGTGCGATGGGAACAGGTGCGATGGGAACAGGTGCGATGGGAAACAGGTGCGATGGGAACAGGTGCGATGGGAACAGGTGCGATGGGAACAGGTGCGATGGGAACAGGTGCGATGGGAACAGGTGCGATGGGAACAGGTGCGATGGGAACAGGTGCGATGGGAACAGGTGCGATGGGAACAGGTGCGATGGGAACAGGTGCGATGGGAACAGGTGCGATGGGAACAGGTGCGATGGGAACAGGTGCGATGGGAACAGGTGCGATGGGAACAGGTGCGATGGGAACAGGTGCGATGGGAACAGGTGCGATGGGAACAGGTGCGATGGGAACAGGTGCGATGGGAACAGGTGCGATGGGAACAGGTGCGATGGGAACAGGTGCGATGGGAACAGGTGCGATGGGAACAGGTGCGATGGGAACAGGTGCGATGGGAACAGGTGCGATGGGAACAGGTGCGATGGGAACAGGTGCGATGGGAACAGGTGCGATGGGAACAGGTGCGATGGGAACAGGTGCGATGGGAACAGGTGCGATGGGAACAGGTGCGATGGGAACAGGTGCGATGGGAACAGGTGCGATGGGAACAGGTGCGATGGGAACAGGTGCGATGGGAACAGGTGCGATGGGAACAGGTGCGATGGGAACAGGTGCGATGGGAACAGGTGCGATGGGAACAGGTGCGATGGGAACAGGTGCGATGGGAACAGGTGCGATGGGAACAGGTGCGATGGGAACAGGTGCGATGGGAACAGGTGCGATGGGAACAGGTGCGATGGGAACAGGTGCGATGGGAACAGGTGCGATGGGAACAGGTGCGATGGGAACAGGTGCGATGGGAACAGGTGCGATGGGAACAGGTGCGATGGGAACAGGTGCGATGGGAACAGGTGCGATGGGAACAGGTGCGATGGGAACAGGTGCGATGGGAACAGGTGCGATGGGAACAGGTGCGATGGGAACAGGTGCGATGGGAACAGGTGTGATGGGAACAGGTGTGATGGGAACAGCTGTGATGGGAACAGGTGCGATGGGAACAGGTGTGATGGGAACAGGTGTGATGGGAACAGGTGTGATGGGAACAGGTGTGATGGGAACAGGTGTGATGGGAACAGGTGTGATGGGAAAAGGTGTGATGGGAACAGGTGTGATGGGAGGCGCTTGCAGGGCGCACCTCGGAGAGCGGCACGAGGCGGTGGGGGCACTGGTCGAGGAAGCAGCGCCACGACCCCGCGGCGTCGCGCCAGAGCACGAGCGGGCGGCCCACAATGGTGATGGCGTGCGGGCGAGTCGCGTCCATGTCAGCCGTCACGCCCACGGCGTACCACGCTCGACTCCACTCCACCGTCCCGCCCTCCTCCGCCCTCCCCTCCGCCGCTGACGCCGCTCTCAGCTGCGCCTCTGCGTCGCCCGTTACAGTCACATCGTCCCTGCTTTCGCTGGACGCCGACTCCGCCGCGGGCGCCGCCCTGGCGACGCGGGACGGCGGGCGATGGGGGCGGCGGGCGGACACGGGCGGGCGCAAGCCCAGCTGTGGCAGGCGCAAGCTGCTCGTGCTGAGTTGGTGGCGACGCGGTTGCAGCGGATGCAGCGCCGCGCGGTGGAGGAGGGGGCGCGGCGCAAGGGAATCTGGGCTGGACGCGACGCGAGCAAACCGGCCCGAGGGACAACGACGCGCCGCCAGTGGCGCCGCAGAGCCGACTGCGGCGCGCGGACGGACGCGACAGCCCAGCGCTGCCTCCATGGCGGGCGGCGGGATCCTCTACTCGGGGGCTCGTCTCGGAAGGATGCGGATGCGCGCTGGACAGCCGGCTCCGAACGGCTGACTCCTCGCACGCACACTGCTCTCTCGGCCTACTGCAGCTCTTTTCTGCGCGTCCCTGCAGCAGCCAGTGCTCGAAGCAGCGAGCGAGCCTGGAGAAGCGCGGAAGTTTGTGAGTCGTGAGTCACGACTGACTAGCTACCAGTGCGCCAGGTTCCGCCTGTTGGAGCGTCAAGTTTTGGATGAGGGGAGTCCCGCTCCTACACTTCTTAAATCCCCAAAGTTACCACATTTAGCGTTGTAACACAGCATTTTACAAAAAGGGCGGACACGACCAGCTTTTGTTCACGAGACGGCACTCCAGCTGCACGTACCTCGAGTCGTGTGACTCACGTTACTACATGCAGCGTGCGCGCGAACTAGGGTCCAGCACTGCGTCCTGCCCACTACAGAGGTGGCCCCTCTAATGGCTCGCACACTTTCGCCAGTACAGCACGAGACTCGCCAAAACCACCTCCGCTTTGGCAAACCACATGGCCAGGCAACTCGCATGTGCAAAAATGCCAGACCTATTCTTCACGAGGGAACCGGTTACCTAGGTTTCCACGCGGACCTGGCACTGTTGAAGTTTGTGTGGGGATATGTGTCCACGCGCTAGTGGGGTGGACCCGGCTCACAGTGCGTTCGTTTCTAGGTACGGTGATCTGTTTTGAACCCCGGCACGTGTTTGGGCACTAAAATTCCCAAAATGTACGCGTTGGACACGCCCTGAGGGCTGGCTATCGCGTTATGTGGAAGGCAGATGCTGGGGTTAGAGCGTGGTACACCTGGCAATGTTTCACGCAGCTAGATCACCAACATCACAACCCTAGGATCATTAGCGGTTAAGGGCGCGGTACACAGTTGTTCAAGAGCTGTTCAAGATGGAAATGACGAACAATGCGTTCAAGCTAGCTTGAACGGGGTTCAAACGAGGTTGGTGAGAAAATTCTGGTCAAAATAAACATTTTGGAACATGTTACAAAAGCGGGTGGACAAGACTCGTCTAAGAACTAATTTCAGTCGAGATGACGAACCTGCCTACAACACTGGAAGTTGTGACTCCTGTAACCGTTTCGCTACCTTCTCACTCACGGGCGACTGCTACTTGGTGCGCGAAAATCCGTTTCGTCGATTATGTTGACCAACGATGCGGTACATAATATTTTTGCTGACGAACGAGTTGTTCAAACCAGCAGTCGTGTGTTCGTCAGCTGGCTGATCAAGACGCGCAACCTTCTTGACCAGCCTAGGTACAACTTACCGTAGTAAACAGGGTACCCAAAATTTGTGTTGTATGATCAAGTCTTGAACAGCTCTTGAATAACTGTGTACTGTGAACATTTTATGGGGACACATCGCATGTATTGGAAATTCGCATTGACCATGTTGACTGCGTTACTGACCGAAACGCAACAGCCTCTGTAGGTAAATTTTCCTTTTCCTTGGAAGGGGTTTACTGCTACGCGTACAACCCCAACATTTCGGACTTCGCACGTTCGGCTGACATCCACCATTCCGAGGCTGCCCCGCGTCGCCCCCGGTTGTCCGCTAGCCAAACCTGCACCCAACCTCGCATCTCCGAGGTTCCCTCCTAGCTACAATAGCTACTATATTATCACGTGCCTTCATTGTATTGTGAGTTCATTGAGTCACAGCCTCGTTATCCGTTTTCCGCGCAACTCTGTTTTACAACTCATACACCTGGTATCTGAGCTACCTACCTAGTTCACCTCGCTTTTCGAGTTTAGTGGCACAGGTTGGCTAGTACAATGGACTGCACGACGTTGGCTGCAAGGTTTGTAATTCAAACCTGCCCGACTCCGATAGTTCTTACCACGGATATGGGCGCACTGACCCGCTACTGAAACAAGCCCTTTTATCCCAATGGTCTAGTGGTTGGGATTCTGACAGAAGCAGTTAACAAAATGATGGTGCAAATGGCAGAAATGCAGGAGAGCATTAAGTCATTGATGACAGAAGTGGAGCATCTACGTTGAGAAAACGTCGAGCTACGACAGACGCAAGGTGAAGCGTGTCAGGAGTCGCCCGTTGAAGAAGGCGATACCACCAGCCATGGCGTGAGTGGCGTCGTTACAAGTGGCAAACTCACACGCAGAAACGACGAGAGCGATAGGCGAGAAGCGCCGGCACCAACAACACTTGCAGTTATTACAATCAAGAAAAAACCCGCGAGCCCGCCCCCGTTCAACCCGACCGACAAGGCGACCACAGTTAAGGGGTGGCTATTTGGCGTAAAGGTTTGATTTACTGCAGCGCGAGTTGACGACGATGCCACTCGTATTAATTACTCGGTTTTGCTTCTCCAAGGACCCACTCTGGAGTGGTGTCGACGTACCTTGGACACGGGGACCCCGACAGGTGTGACACATGCGGCAGACGGGACCTCAACTTCGGCTAATCAAGTGGCAACATCAATATTCAGTGTGACTAGGATTTGCACGTGGAAGGAGTGGGGCGTAGCCTTGCAAGATCGTTTCGAGCACGTATCCGCCTCGGAGCAAGCCCGCATGAAGCTGCGTGCCTGGTCGCAGTTGGCTTCTGTTCAGGACTACCAAGTGGACGACATGGCGGAGCTGGAGCGGTTGGATAAGTATATCAGCGGACTTAATTACGAGATAGAGTATGAGGTTTGCCGATGCCGCCCGACTACGTTCCTGGAAGCCGTACGGCTGGCAGGATCTACAGATGCGCTGATGCAGTGGGCGAGGGGAGGTTCCCGGGAGGGAAACCGTTTCGCAAACAGACCCAACGGGCCACAATCAACGGAGTCCATGCACCCGACCGCCCCTTTCCGGGGCTGTGTTATAAGTATGGGAAATCGGGTCACATCTCTAGAGACTACCACGAGAAAACGTCGGCGAAAAGGAACGACGGGAAAGAGCCAGGAAATAGGAAGAGTCTGTGATATACGGGCCCCTTACCGACTGTGCTCTGTCGCCCAAACTTCACCATCCCCACCGAGTCGTGGTTCGATTCATGCAACGACGCCGGACGGCTGCGACGTGCTTCTGAGACATGATCGGCTGCGACTACACAACCCCATCATCGACTCGACGACGGAATCGTGCAGTATCAGCAAGCACGATGGGCTCATTACATTACCTGCATGGACCCCGGACTACATTCAGGCCCAGTGCGTCAAAGCCATCACTATTGCCCGCCATTTCAATCGAGGCGCGCAGCTGTTTGCTGTGTGTTTGCGCGAGTTGGCAACTGACACCGACGGAAAGGACATCGAGAAGCTGTGCACAGGACGCCCCGAGGACCACAAAATACACAGTAACCTGGCGCGCAACTGACTGTTCGTACACAGTGGCGACTGACTCAGCCGGAACTCGAGGAGCTACGAAGCCAAATTGACGGACTGTTGGAGAAGGGGTTTATATGACCCAGTACATCTCCCTTCGCAGCTCCGATCATGTTTACGCCGAAAAAGGACGGCGGCCTTCGCATGTGCATCGACTGTCGTGCGCTCAACAGGGCCACCATCAAGTCCCGCTATCCAATCCCACGTACCGACGACCTCCTCGATCAGCTTCGCGGTGCTCGCTCTTTCTCGAAAATCGACTTCGTGGCGGTTACCACCATATTTGGGTCTTCGCCGACGATTGCTACAAGACCGCGTTTTGAAACCGCTACGGAAGCTACTGTCAGAATAGTGAAGGAAGGAGTGACTGAACTAGCAAGCAGGTGGGTACAAGTAGGAAACCTAAAAGTGTTGTACCCTATATGAACTACCCCACTACAGCCTACACAGGCTATAGCATATAAGTTTGACACACCCCCATAGGCAAAGTGGGGGAGAACAAGAGGTCAGAAGACCGGTCAAGAAAGGCAAAGCAAGCTCAGGGTGGATCACGACGTCACCACGCATTCTGAGCACAAGAAAATGGCCACAAGGCCAGTTCACATGCAGAGTTATATAAAGGAGAACAAGCAATACAGTGATCACAACCTAGCAAGTGTAAGCATGCAGGTATATGTATAGAGATCACAGTACAAGCAGAGTCAAGAAGTAAGCAAGTGAGGCACAGTAGGCACAAGGCCTAGAACAGTACAGAAACGCTGATGATCACAAGGCTGAAGTGCCTTGGTGAAGACATCAGCAGTGTTGGCCCGAGTGGCCACGTAAGCAAGATGAAGCTGACCACGCTGCTGCAA